TCTTCTTTTCTGGATTCCTTAGTTTCAAAGCTTGCATCATACAAAGCGTAGCGGCAATCTTTTTCAGGAAGCATTCCCACAAAATGCTTGAATGGATCAGTGATGGTTACACCAACATCTCCAACCAAGATCTCCTTGCCTTCTTCAACAATGATACACTTTTTGTCTGCACTGAGACAGAAAATGACAGCCTTCTTTCTTTTCTTGATTTCTTCTGGTGTGGAGCATTTCCTAACTTTCATGTCATAAAAAATACGACATACTTCATCAGCAGCTTGCACTCCTGAGGCCATGTTCACAGTGGCTGTGGGAGGGACGTGGAGGAGGGAGCCGACCGGTGCCGAATCTGCAGAGCGTCCTCCTCACAGAAGTGGGACCCAAAATGGGACATTTCTTTAAAAATATTTATTATTTAGTATTATTGGGTTGTCAGAAAAGTCATGGCGCATTTTTACATAGAAAAACAGAAAAAATATGTTCTGACTTGTCCAATAACCTATTTCTGGATTTTTATTGTAAAAATGTCGTGAGTATTTTTGGTTGTTTTTGATGTATAGAATTGTATTAAAATATTCAGTGTGCTTGTAAACTGCACATACCTCCAACTACCTTACCCCCACATCAAAGGCACACATCCCAGGAAAAAATCATTGGCCTAAGGACCTGCCAGGATCCAAAGGGCTGTTGTCAAAAGAGGAGGCCAAGGTACTCCATGAGACTCTGGAAGGCAGTGAACACCGTGGATGTGATTAGAGGAGCTAGGCGTTCCTCCCCGTCCCTATGTAGGGACAGTGGTAGCGCCCCAGGAATTAGGCCGCCTGTAAAGGAAGGCCAGGGGTTTTCTATCAGAATTGTTCAAGGGCAGCAAGCTGACTTCCTGTCCAAAAGCTGTAAGCAGGGATTTCCAACTTTTCTTTGGAAAGGTGAAGGAACCTTTTTATCAGATAAAACTGTACAGAGGATCTAACTGCAAATCAGATGGAAACAGAACTCTGCTTTATTTGGGTTGAGTGTCGGCACTGAGCCGTGCTGCTCTGGGCTTGCTCTGTACAGCTGAAGCATTGGCTGGACTAGGTGGCTTGTCAGGCCCTTCTAGCTCCAAAATTATGTAATTCTAGCAGACTGAGCATAGGAACCAAGGCTGATTTCTCCAACCTAGTTCAGTAGTTGTTTTCCTAGCAATTGGGTTCTGTATTTGTTTCTTCCTTTATTCTAGTTACTCAAAACGGCCCAGGGCCAGAAGAGGGCAGAGACCGAGCATTATGAAGAGATTGGAGACTATGATTATAACAACCCTAATGACACCTCCAACTTTTGCCCTGGATTACAGGTAACGGGTCCCTCTCTCCTAAGCACAAGAGCCTTTCTACCCTGCTTCCCCTCTCCCCTTTCTGTATGGCAGAAGATGGGAGGAAATTCTGAATCCAGGGGGATTCTGGGTGCAGGGTCTGCCCTCAGGGTGGGAACCTGAGCAGAGCTAAGGAAACAGCCTCAGCCATGGCCGGTCATACCCCAAACCCTGTGCCCGGGAAGCTAGTGCACACACTTCAGGAAACCGGCGGCACACGGACAGGGCCTTGCTCCTGAGCTGCAGAGCACTCCTCTTGACTGTTTGGAGTTACAAAGGAATACGGACATTTTTCTTGCTCTTTTTAAATGATAATATGTACTATATTACTTTATTAAAATACAATTACATTTATTATTAACACATATTAAATAGCTAGGCAGATAAATCACACAGACATGTGAAGGTCATGGAGTCTCACAGGGCAGACTGAGTCTCTGCAGTGTGCCTCAGGAGAGCACGCTGCCAGCACCGCTCTTGCTTCTCACGCTGTGCACTTGTACAAGCCACTCCCCCTCTTTAAAACTTGGTCTGGACTAGATCATTTCCATATCCCTTCCATGAGTTTACTAATGAGATGGTAAAAATATAAACAAAAGAAAGAGGGAATTTAGGCCTCATTTGTGCTTCTGTCCCTGAAGAGAGGGAAAAGAACCAGAAGGATAGTTAATTCCCTATATTTTGCCTGGAGGAGTTAGGATGTTATATTTAGTGAAAATCCAGACTAACCTCTTCACCAATGCCTCTCAAAAGTCAGCATGCATCCCACCTTGGCGTGACTCTCTAGTGAAATATCAGGTGGTCTGTTTTTTACAAACAGTCTGTTTCAAGGCCGTACTAAGCCTCTGCCAGCTTCTGCCAGGCGTAAAGAGCTGTTTCCTTGCCTAGGCCGCCGACAGTGATTACGAAGAGTTGGATAATGTGGAGCCAGTTGGCTCCTTCGACCTCACACCTTATCCTTGCCATTCGCCTAAGACAACACAAGAGAATGGTGACACACCTGACGTCCAAGGATTAGACATCACAACATATGGAGAGTCAAATCTGGTAGCCGAGCCTCAGAAGGTAAGGACAGAGCAGTGGAGAATTACACTGTTTGCCTGAAATCTGTTTAATTTGCTTTTTATGTGAGAGTCATGTCAGTCTGAGATTCTTTTTTTTTTTTTTTTTTTCTGTCTCAATTTTAACCTATTGCTCTTTAAGTGGCTGAGGCTTAAAGTGGGTCTCAGGGAATGAGGTGATGTTAACTAGTTTCGTGTGGAACTAATCGTTCCTTCAAAGATTCTGGTAAGCTGTATAACTAGGGCTGAAGCAGACGCCTAAATAAATATGTGAGCCAAGGTTACAGGCAGAGAAAACAGGCTTATATGCTAATGCGGTGTGGCCAGCTAGCTCTGTGCTCTGGAGAATCATACCCAGATTCAATTTGTATTAAATTGTCACACGTTGAACAGCTTTCTGTTATATACCAGGTAGCAGGCGTGGTGTGTTTATACTTTTTTTTTTTAATAAAATATACTAGGGTGTTTTTTTTTTTTTTTTTTTTTTTTCCCCTAAAGTTTATCAGGGTCTTGTTACCATGATCCAGCCCCAGCCCTGGCCAAACCTCTTCCATGGGCACACTGTGCCCTGCATACTCAGGGGCATCTCCAGGTGCAAACCTGGAACCTTCCCAAGTGGGTGAGCCTCCTGGAGCGGCATTCTGCTCTGAACCGCCACCCAGCCCCAGTGTTCCTTAGTATTTGATTTGCTTATCTCCTGTACACCAGAATGCCAGGCTGGCTTTAATATAGATTGCTCAGTCAAAAAGAAATGCGATCTCACAGGAGGGACTCTGTTTTAGCATGTCCAAAGAGAGCTTTAGAACTGGTTGGAACTGGAGTCCTTCCTTCCTTTCTCTTAGATTGCTACAGGGTGTGTGTGCTTACCAGAGGGGGTTGATTTCTCACACCTCAAGGGTGACGGCCATGCCGTGCCGCAGTCTCTTCACTCTCCTCAGGATCTGGGGCACAAGCACATGCATACCATACCCCCTGTGCGTTTTTCAAGCCACCACGTCTGGGACTCGAACTACACCGTTGGCCATGTGGGACCCAAGTGCCTTAATCATTGCACCACTTGGCTGGCCTGAAACTGGAGACCTTTATTTGAACTCAAGACTTACTGTTATGGGGAATTGATAAATGTTTTTTTCTTCTGCTTGGTCTTACTTAATTTACATACCTATTTCAGGTCAATAAAGTTGAAATTCACTATGCCAAGACTGCCAAAAAGATGGACATGAAGAAGCTGAAGCAGAGCATGTGGAGTTTACTGGAGTTTTCCAGAAAGGGAGCGGGCACAGAGGTAGTGTGCTCCGCTTGTTCTCTGGGTGCCTAGGGGACTGGAGGGAGGTGGCTGGTGTCCAGGGCCCTGAGACACAAGGAAGATGTCGCGCTCTAGGAGATAAATGAGCCCGGTATGCAGCGGCAGGTCACATCAGAGGTGACCCAAATGGTGGGCTAGAGCAGGGGACATCGTCCACCTTGCTGGTAGACACGCAAGGGAAAGCGGCTGTGCCATTGCGGGGCAGCAGTGTTAGCAGCTCGGCACTTCCCCAGTACTGCCCTGAGGGAGATCGGGTACTTACTAATTGCCCGTAGCAATTCGAGTTGATACATGTCTCTTCTGGAAAATAATTGTAACTATGTCTCAGGTACCATAAGATGCTTAAACTCTTCGATATGGTAGTTCTGATTTGGGAAATGTATTCTCAGAAAATAGTGGAAAATAAAATAACTCTTAAAAAAAGAACACTAGGAAGGTAATCTTTATGCTGTCAGATTCTGTTTCTCCTCAGAATAAGATGCAGCCTTGATGACCTTGGTCCAACCCACTGGAAATCTTCAGTTAACTAGAATCCTTCCCTCTTTCTAACTCCTGCTCAAGCAACGTTCGGAGCTTTGCAAGCTCAACTCACTTCCTCCTCCTTTCTCCTGCTGGCAGAGAAGTGAACATGCACGGCCTGATTAAGGACTCTCAGCTGTGCAGTTTTAGAGAACGCTTCATTCATATGCGGGGTCTTCATAAAGTTCAAGGAAAATGTGGATTATGAAAAAACTGGGCATGAATTTCTCATTTTTCCACCAAAATAAACTCATATTTTAATTCCATTTTTCTATAAAAATTTTGAAAGCCGCCTCATAGTCATAAGGTTTTGTCCAGTAAGACAGAACAGAATATAAGTGTAAGAAAATGTGCTTTTTAAAAATGAGGGCTGTTCTGCCAAACGTTCATGTATAAATGACTTAGTACCTTCTCCCTCAGGATGTGGTTCTTTAAAGGTTGACTCTCTTTTTTAATTGTTCTATTAACTTGCTAGAGCATGCGTGCAGTCATCAGAGAGAGAGAGAAAGGAAAGTGAGAAAGCACCCCTGGGGAGTGCGGCCTTGCTGCAGTCCCTTCTCCATTCTCCACTCAGGATTTGGGGCACAGGAGGACAGACAGACAGACACATAGAGACAGAAAGCGAGAAATCACCCCCCCAGGGGGGATGGTCACGCCGCAATCCCTTCTCCTCCATTCCCCTCTCGGGATCTTGGGCACGCACGCACACGCGCCCAGTGTGAGTTTTAAGCCACCAGGTCCTGGACGCGAACCGCGGTCGACTACGTGGGAATCCAGCGACATAGTCATTATGCTAATTGCTGGTTCCCAAGCCTGATATTCTTTCATTACTGTTTATTTGCTAGCATGGAGGCAACAAGCTGTTTTTGTTTGTTTATTTTAAGTGGAAAGTGGGAGTTTACTTTTGTTTTCATTTTGATTTTTTAAGAGAGATTTTTGCTATAGGAAGTATATGAGAAATCACCCCCCAGGGGGATGGCCACACTGCAGTCCCTTCCCCTCCATTCTCCTCTTGGGATCCTGAGCATGCATGCATACGCTCTCAGCATGAGTTTGAAACTTCTGGGTCCAGGAATTGAACCATAGTTGACCATATGGGAGTCCAGCGACATAAGCATTACACCATCTGTTGGTCCCAAATTTACTTTTAAATATGGATTTTGTGCTGACATTAGCTATCTAGTCCAGTTGAAGCTATATATTAGCATGGCTTTTTATTTATTTATTTATTTATTACTAATTTTTTTCCCACAAGGACTCAGAAGCCTCTTTGCAGCCCCTTTACCATGATCGTATTGGCCATTGACAGTCATGTTTACCATAACTAGGTAAATGTCCTTGTCATATTCCAAGGCTGAGGCACCAGTTCTCTTTATAGATTTGTTTTTCCAAAAAGTACTAACTAAGCCAGTGTTTTCATTTCATTCAGATATAGACTTTTCTTTTATGGAGATGCAGCTTGTAAGTTTCTGTTGCTCTTTGAAAAGTGAACTAGCTCTGGGACCAGCAGTTAGCGTAATGGCTATGTCGCTGGACTCCCATGTAGTCGACCACGGTTCTAGTCCCGGACCCGGTGGCTTAAACTCACGGGCGTGTGTGCGTGCGTGCCCAAGATCCTGAGAGGAGAAAGGAGGAGAAGGGATTGCAGCGTGGTCATCCCCCCGGGGGGTGATTTCTTGCTTCCTATCTCTCTGTCTCTGTCTTTCTGGTGAGCGCACGCACCCTATAGCAAAAAAATAAAATGAAAAACTACTCCAAAAAAAAAGAAAAAAAGTGAACTAGCTCTGGGACCAGCAGTTAGTGTAATGGCTATGTTGCTGGACTCCTATGTCATGGACCGCGGTTCAAGTCCTGGACTTGGTGGCTTAAACTCATGCCAGGCACTTGTGCATGTGTGCCCAAGATCCCGAGAGGAGAAAGGAGGAGAAGGGATTGCAGCGTGGTCATCCCCCCGGGGGGTGATTTCTTGCTTTCTGTCTCTGTCTCTCTCTGTCTTTCTGGCGAGCGCACATGCTCTATAGTAAAAACCTCTCCAAAAAAGTGGACTAGCTCTTAATGCCCTACCTGTAATGTGCTGCTTCCGCTAGGCAGAACATGTCGAGAACGGAAAAGAAGGAGCCCCAGAGGAGGTAGCTGACAAGATGCTCAGCGGGCTCACGAAGGACCTGCAGAAGAGGTGTGTGCTGGCAGCCATGGGTGAGCGGGCGGGTGGGCAGGGTATTTGCCATCCCTGCTCTGAGCCCCAGCCGAGGGCGCTGGGCCAGAGCCCTCTGCACACACACTGTGTGATATGACACTTACTTAGAGCAGCTCTCTGTCTCTTCCCCGTGTGGATAGATAAGTTACTATAAAGGGCATTTGTCCATGCCTTAGATGAAACAGGAGGTATTTTACTTCTAAATAAGAAACTAGAAAAACCTGCTTATGAAATGTGAGAAATATTTATTCCTCTGCTTCTCACTAGTCGTGTGTGAGTATTACTCACATTGCTGAATGGGCCTTTGTTCTTAGAACTGCAGAGCCCTCACTAATACTTGTCGCTTTGTTTCTAGCCTGCCCCCCCTCATGGCTCAGAACCTCTCCATACCTCTGGCTTTTGCTTGTCTCCTACATTTAGCCAATGAAAAGGTGGGTAACTATGGTAAGCCTTGCAGTATTTGAGTATTCCCTATCTGTGTCAACTCATTCAAGCTTTATTAGATCTTCTGTGGGCTACCATAGGGCTTTTTCCCTCATTGCCAGAGAGTGTGCATACTCGCTGAAAAGAGACAGAAACAGAATAAAGTGGGGGCAAGTACCCCTAATTGGGCATGGTCACACTTTAGTCCCTTCTCTATTTCTCTGTACTGCTGGGATTTGGGGCACATTTAAACACATACCCAGAATGTTTTTCTAGGCCCTGGGGCTGAGATTCAAACCACCATATGGAATCCAACTCTCTTAACCACGAGGCCCAGGAGATCTTAAATACAGTGATTTGTGTGGCACCTTTGACTTGAAGGATTAACCAGGCACCTAGCATTAACTAAGAAAAAGGCCCTCTGCTTTGTTTGGCAATTGAAATAGTAGGAGGACCCAAACGCAACGTCGTAGACGAAGGTGCTATGACCAGCTCCCCGTCTGAGGACAATGCTTTACTTCACTGGCTGTCAGACTTCAAAGGTAAAGCCTGCCAGTGCCACAGTAGGACATGTGGGAGTGTGGCCAGCAGGTGGCACGGTGGATGAAGTGCTGGACTCCCACATGGCCTACCATGGTTTAAGTCCTGGACCTGGCAGCTTGCTTTCTCAGTTTTTCTCTTTCTCTCTGTTTTTGGTGAGTGCATGTGCTCTATAGCAAATTTTTAAAATAATAATTAATTAAAAACTAAATAATTATTTTATAAAACATGGGGGACATGGCAGAGGAAAAAGGGAGAAATGGGGATGCAAGCAAGACAGCTGAGGAAGAGAAAGTCGTAAATATGGAGGCCGTGGCCAAGAAAACGGAGCTGCCAAGACCAGTGAAGAGAGTCTTGGGAACAGAGCTGTCTGTCGAGGAAGAGTTCCAAAGTGCCGTCTGGGGCAGCATGGCAGATGCCGTGTTGTGCCCCGCCAGCTGTCCCCGGGCCACTGTGGGGCAGTTACTGCAAAGCAGAGGGGGACTCATCTCCTCCAGAGCTTGGAGATGCTCCTGGCGGCATTGCAGTGAGGGCAGCGGAGCCATGCTGTACAGTTGGGTCCCGCCAGACACTTGGTCTCCTTTGATTTCCCCAGCCAGCGGGTCAGCAGTGCACCTTGGGGCTTGCAACAAGGACTGTGGGCTGGCAGGAGCCTATGCAGCGGGCACTGCCCTGGAGCTGGGTTGCCGCAGCTGTCCTCGTGCACCACCACGGGAGTGGCAGAGCTCTTCTGGACTGCAGGGCTGAGGGGTCTGTGCAGGACCTGTCTGGACATCTGCAGCATCGAAGTGCAGTTTAAGATAGGTTAGGTCAGACCCGTGGAGCAGTAGCAAACGCAGGTGCTCTGTATATGCCCAGGAATCCCCGCGTGCCAGCGTGTGGCCTCTGGCCTCACAGTGCCCTCAGGAGTGGTGATCGGCTCCCATCCTAGTCTGCCTGCGCAGTAGAGGATGGCCTTGAATAGCACCGCCACCGATCTGGCCACGTGGGCCTACCACTGGGAGCTGCGGCCAGCTTTTCTTGTGCCAGTTCCTTAACTCATGACTCACCAAGATGACGTAACAACGTTAGTTGGCGGAAGCTGGTATGACTTTGGGTGGGGAACAGGTGCAGAGGAGCCACTGAGCCCAGACCAGATGCTGCGTGTCTCTAACTGCCATGGGACCCTCGGATCGTGACGACCAGTTGGGGCACTCCGGATGGAGGCCAGAACAGGAGAAACCAACTTGGCTCCCAGGGGGTTTGTGCAGAGCCATTGAGGCTGGCTGTCCACCCAGGGGCGGATGCAGCACTGCCAACTCTGGAGAGTCCTCAAAGCCTGAGGAACAGGGGTGGCAGACACACGCCTGTCCATAGTTACAGGAGCGTGAGTCCCCTGCCTCGACACATTCTGAGGTACCTGATGCCAGACACAAACTACGCGACAAAGACATGAATAAGGAAACAATAAATGAAAAGATAAAAGCGTGTACCCTGACAAGGAATCCACAAGTACCTGTGATTAGGATTTCCCACCAGAGGTTGCGGGTGGGCAGGCCGTCCATCTCTGACACTTGGGAGTGTCACTGTTAAGCCGCCAGGGGAGGCCAGAATCTCGTCTCCACCCCACCCTCATGGACATGGGTGCTGGTCTCCTAGAGTGGATGCTCCCAATGCCCAGCACCCTTCCGCTCCCAATTACGATGGCTGCTTATCTCCCTCGTTTGCCCCCGGCCGAGGAGCAGAGGCCGCACGTCTCACAGCCACACGTCCTGCCTGTCCCTCTGAGAGCAGCACCTGCCCTCGCCTGGCCCCCGAGGAAGCTGGGCCTAGGTCGGCAGCCCGCTGCTTGGACCCTGGCTCGGCTCTGCCCCACCGTGACAGTGCAGGCTTAGTCCATTTGGCCGAGATGAAGTCCATCTTTAAGGGCCCAGAGCTCTCGGTGTCTGAAGAATGAGGGGTGGCCACGGCCGTCCAGGGCTGCCTTCGGACTGTTTGAGGAGGTGGGTCTCTTACACCGGCCGTGACGTTTATCGTGACTATTGACAGGGATCTGTGATAACGTGGAGCTTACCCACCCACCAAGAGAAATGCTGTCAGCACCTTGCTCGGCCCGGCTCAATAGCATGCACCGGAAGTACCGGCTGCTCGAGAGACGGCGGCCTGAGTTGGAGGCTGGAAGGCCAGCCTGGCAACAGTGAAAACCTGTCTCTAAAACAGCAGAACAAACACTGCTTCACACTAGAACCTGCCCTCCTGTGGCCGGCTTCTCAGTCTTTCACTCCCACCTTGCCCCCTTCATCCATCCACCTCTGGTAACAGTCCCCTTGGCAGTGCCACGTGCTGGGACTTAGAATCCAGTGTCGAGGCAGGCCCCTCTGCCTCCCTGGCTCTTGTGCCAGCACTGTGAGGCTGATCAGCCAAACCCAGGCACGATCTGAGCTGAAGGAGGCTTGGAGGTTCACCTTGTGCTCCCATCTTTTTTTTTCTTTTTTTTGGAGAGGTTTTTGCTATAGGGCATGTGCACTCGCCAGAAAGACAGAGAGAGACAGAGACAGAAAGCGAGAAATCACCCCCAGGGGGGATGGCCACGCCGCAATCCCTTCTCCTCCATTCTTCTCTCGGGATCTTGGACACACACGCACATGCACCCAGCGTGAGTTTAAGCCACCAGGTCCGGGACTCGAACTGCGGTTGACTACATGGGAGTCCAGCAACATAGCCATTACGCTAACTGCTAGTCCCTTGTGCTCCCATCTTTGGAGGACAGGAAGTGCAGTAGGACGCAGGTGGAGCCTACGCCAGCACCAGCTCATCCCAGCCACCCCTGCACAGCGAGGGAGAGGGTCGGGAGTGAGGCAGGAGAGGCTCTGACAGATGGCTGGCTCTGAGAGGGGCGGGTGAAGACAGTTCTCGGGGGAGGGAGTGGCTGGACAGTAGGTGGGGAAAGCTTTGGAAGGTGGGACAAGCTGGGCAGAGACAAGATGGCCATCCTGGACTAGCTGAGGGATGGGGCTTGGGGTGGGGAAGGGCCGCGTGGGGCTGGGTTGGTAAGTGTCACGGCTCCTGGCGGCCTCCATCTGTCCCCTCAGCTCCTTCAGGTGAAAGAGCTCCACTCTTGGGTACTTTGCAGGGTAAGTGTGGCAGGAACTGTCACGCAGTTGGCAAGGATTAGGAACAGCTTTGGTTTTGGTTTTTAATTTTTTTTTCTTTTAATCTTGCCAGAGGGTGTGTGCACGCACCAGAGAGGAAGCACCCCCGTGGGTGTACTCACAAGACAATCTCTCTTTTCTCCATCCTGTTGGGGGGTGAGAACGCACATGCCCAGTGTGTTTTTCAAGTAGTGGGGCTGGCAGTCTGCCGTGCGGGCTCTGGCTTCCCTTAACCACTAGGCTATAGGGCTGGCCCTTTTCTTTTTTCTTTTCTTTTTTTTTTTTTAAGTTTCTTTCCTTCTTCCAAGAGTGAGCAGGAGAGGTGGTTTCACAGAGTCTCACTCGGTGATATGCCCCAGCTTCAGCCAGCCCTAGATCACAGGTTTACGTGTGACCTCCCACCGTTCTGGGAGGTCTCTGGACGCAAACCCAGAACCTCCCACTGTGGGTCAGTGTCACAGCGTGTCATGTTTTTCCTCTGTCCCACCATCGGGCCCCCCGGAGATGGCTTTGTCATTTTGTCATGCAGAGTATATTGGCTATGATGCAGTCACCATTCCTAGTCGTCACTGCCTGCTTACCTCAGTTAGAATTCATTTTAGGATCCCTTTGTTCTCAGTATATCAGAGTCCATGTGTGCTTTCGTCTTCCCTCAGAATCTAAAGCTGGAAGGAACAGAGGACCTCTCTGATGTTCTCGTGAGGCAAGGGGACTGAGTTCCGGCGATGTCGGCACCGCCTTTCATTGGCCACGCAATCTCCACCCGGGGCGAAGGAAGATGCCGCGGGCTTGCAGCAGAGCTGTGGCCAGCTGTCACCGCGTCTGGTCTTTCCTTCTCTCCGTCAGTCTGGGTGCCATCCCAGCACCTGGAAGCTCTGCCCTGTGCGACCACCTCCGAGGGAGGAGGGCGGAGAGGTGAGGCGGCCCCTCTGGGCCGTGGACTCTGTTCTCTCTTTCTGTCCATGCATAGTGTCAGTTTCCTGAATCGATCTGCGTTGTTTCCACACTTCACTCGTAGGCACCGACTGTTGGCCCTAGCGAACTGCCTAATCCATGTACATAGCATACACCGTGCCTTACTTGTAACTGTAAATACAGTGCTTGGAAATAAAGCCATTTGGGTAACGTGCTGGGGTGTTGGCGTGTCCTCTAGGTAAACATCAGACCTGGTCCTTCCCCGCACGGATGCTCACATGTCAGCTAGGGCAGGCAGTGCTTGCCCTGGAGCAGAGAGGAATCACTGGCTGGAGATTCAGATTTCGAGTCTGGATCTGTATTTAAATGGCTCTGAATTCTGCTGGAGGGTGATGGCGGTCAGAGTTGCTGGAACCCTCTCAGCAGCCCTATGAGGGACACGCTGTTACGCCCATGTTACGGAGGAGGAAACATACGCAGAGGTGACTTGCATGGGGCAGTCAGCTAGCTATCAGAGCGGGGCCTTGAACCACCAGGCTTCCCTAACCACTAGGCTTGTTGGCAGTAATCTGCCTCTGGGTCTGTTCTCAGCCACTCCGTTTACGCTGCCCAGGTCATAGGCTCAGCGGTGGTGGGAGAGCGATGCGGGATGAGTCATCCAGCTCCACAGAATGCCACGTAAAATATCTTCCCGTGACCTCAGAAATAGGCGAGTAAAGGTCGCTTGCAATTTGGAGCCATACAGTCGACATTGGTCCCAGTCATTTTATCCTCAGCAGGTCTTGGAGCTCTGCCAGGGCACCCATCACCGCTCACTTGCTAAGCAGAGATGGTGGTCCGGAGCAGTGTCCATGGTAGTAACTGGCTCCAAAGCGAAAGACCACACACAAAACAGTCCTTGTCCGCGGGTGTGTGCTTTCCAAATCCTATTCAGAAAATGACCTACCCTGCCCTGGGAGAGGGTTGCAGGCTTAGTCTGCCCCTAGTCCGTCACACTTCTCTTTGGGGGTCTGGCCTGGGGCTGAGCTGCCAGTAAGACTCAGACTGGCACCAGCTTTAATGAACTCCCCACACCCTTCACCTGCTTCTCCGCCTCATTTACATGGTCGCAGTGTCTGTAGAGTTAGTTTGGTTGCATATAATAGAAAACCGAAATGAGTGGGTCCTGGTGGTTAAGGAGCTGAATCCCACATAGCCGACTACAGGGCTCAAGTCCCACATCCAGCAGCTTGAAAGCCATGCTGAGCGCATGTGCATGCATGCCCAGAATCCTGATGAGGAGAGGCAGAGGAGGGATTGCAGCGTGACCACCCCCCATGGGGGTATGGGCAGGGCCAGGCATTCTGAAAGTATCTTAGAGCCGACCCGCAGTCTCCCTGTGCCTCAGTCTCTTCCCTTATCAGCTAGCCGTAGTCACCCCTGTGCCAGCTTCGCAGGCCTGATGTGTGCAGAGTGCTGCTGGGGAAGTCGGAGCTATTCAGGCATGAAATGCTGTCTTCTTAACGAACTGCTCCGATCATTTTAAAGACATTCTTTTTCCTTTTTTTCTTTTTCTTTTTAGAGAGGTTTTTTGCTGTAAGTTGTGGGCGCTCACCAGACAGGCAGAAAGTTAGAACTCACCCTCCCCTAAGTGAGGGAGGAACGGCCATGCCACAATCCCTTCTCCATTCTCCTCTCGGGATTTTGGGAATGCACGCACACATGCCCAGCATGAGTTTTAAGCTACTGGGCCTGGGACTCGAACCACGGTTCACTACGTGAGAGTCCAGTGACGTAGCCGTTACACCATCTGCTGGTCCCAACATCATTCTTTTTCCTAATCCCCTGCTAAGGTGAATAGGAAGGTCCTGGCTTCCTATTAGAATTTGCTACACTTTTGCCATTTGATAGACTAGGGGTCCAGGGTCCTGACTTCAAGAAGAGAGTCCAGAGTCCAATGATGACTGTTTAGAAAGGCAGAGAGGAGCCTGGGATTGCTCTTGTATCAGTCAGAGACTAGAGGTGTGGGTTACATGTGACTAGGGGAGCAAAGTGCCTCCTTTTGGACTCAGCTATCCCCACAACTGCCCTCCTTAGATTCTTCTTAGTCCTGAGTTCATCAAATTTTACTCCTTTAAATAAAGCAATTTACAAAATAAAAGGTTAATGGTTTCATGTGTACACCTTTGTTGTAAGATTCCCATGAATGAATCCTCAAATGGGGGTAAGAGTCTTTTTTTTTTTTTTTTTTTTTTGATATTTTTGCTCTAGGGTGTGTGCACATGCGGGAGAGAAAAGAGAACAACAGAAAGAAAATGAGAAATCACCACCCAGGGGGATGGCCATACCACAGTCTGCTCTCCATTCTCCTCCTGTGCTCTTGGGCACATATGCACAAGCACCTGGTGTGAGTTTGAAGCCACCAGATCTGAGACTTGAGCCATGGTTGGCCATGTAGGAATCCAACAACATAGCTAACTGTTATGCCCCCTGCTGGTCCCGGGTAAAGAATCTTTGTTAGATGAAATGGGACAATATCTCATCTGTATCTCTCTAGGGGAACTGTTTTGTTTTTTTTGTTTTTTGGTTCTTCGGGGTTTTTTGAGAGATTTTCACCATAGGGCATGTGTGCTTGCCAGAGAGACAGAGAAAGGGAGAAATCACCCCCTCAGGGGGATGGCCACACCATGATAACCTCTTCTCAGATTTTGGGCATGCACACACATATGCCCAGTGGGAGTTCAAGCCACTGGGTCCAGGACTTGAACTGTAGTGGAATATATGAGTCCAGCGTGTAACTCTTATGCCATCTGCTGGTCCCAGGGAATTGCTTTCTAGTAGCTTGATATCTCAGCCCACTCTAGACTAAAGGTCTCCTTGTTCATGACCTCCCACCACATCTCTGGGATGACAACTCAGACCTTGCAGGGGGAGAGGGTGGTTGCATTTCCAAATCAACCTCCTTTGTTCTTGGCTTTGATGCTTCTCATTGGAGGTACTGCTGAACAGACTTACTGTATTTCCCCAGGGAGGAAATATGAGGGGACTTCAAAAAGATTGTGGAAAAATGTAATTGAAAGATAAAAATTAAAAATAAACTGGGATCAGCAGATGGCATAGTGTTTACGTCACTGGACTCCCACATGGCCAACCATGGTTTGAGACCTGGACCAGGTGGCTTAAAACCTACACCGGGCACATATGCATGTGTGCTCACAATTCCAGGAGAATGGGACCAGCAGTTAGTGTAATGGCTATGTTGCTGAACTCCCATGTAGTAGACCGCAGTTTGAGTCCCAGACCTGGTGCCTTAAACTCATGCTGGGCGCGTGTGCGTGCGTGTCCAAGATCCCGAGAGGAGAATGGAGGAGAAGGGATTGCGGTGTGGCCATCCCCCCTGGGGGGTGATTTCTCGCTTTCTGTCTCTCTGTCTCTTTCTGTCTTTCTGGCAAGCACATGCGGTCTATAGCAAAAACATCTCCAAAAAAAAAAAAAAAGATTCAAGGGGAATGGAGAGAATGGAGAAGGGATTGTAGCACGGTTATCCCTCGGGGGTGGGGGTGGGGCAGTAATTCCTCACTTTCCCTCTCTCTGTCTCTGTCTCTGTCTCTCTCTGATGAGTGCATGCACTCTAAGACCAGAACCTCCTTATATAAATACACACACACATTTTTTTTCTCACCATAAGCATCAAGCTCAGTCATTTAGTCCCGCCCTGAAGAACTGAGGGCCCTGGGGCCAGCAGATGGCATAGCAGTTACGTTGCTGAACACGCACATTACCAACTAGTTCAGTTTCCAGACCTGGTGGCTTAAAACTCACGCCAGGTGTGCGTGCATGCCCAAGATCCCAGGAAGAGAATGGAGGAGAAGGGATTGCAGTGTGGCCATGCCCCCCGGGGGGTGACTTCCCATTTTCCCTCTCACTGTCTCTTTTCTCTCTGGAGAGTGCATGTGCCCTAAGGCAAAAAATACCTCTGCAGAAAATAAATACATAAATAACTGAGGGTCCCAGGAACTGAACCATGCTGATACAGTTTTTTTTTTTCATATTAACTGAAGAAAAAAGGATGCTTGGGGCCTGCAGGTGGCACGGCAGTTAAGAACGCTGGATACCCACATGACTGACCATGGTTCAAGTCCCAGCTGGAACTGGCAGCTTGCTTTCTCACTTCCTCTCTCGCTCTCTGTTGCTCTCTGGTCAAATTAAATAAATAATTCTAAAACCAAACAAACAAACAAACAAAACCCTTTCAAGGTTTCTTAACATGAGGAAACACAAGTCAGAAGGAGCCAAATCAGGACTGAAAGGTGAGTGCCTGACGGTTTCCCATCAAAACTTGCAAAATTAAAAAAAAAAAAAAACGTGCAAAATTGCCCTTGTTTGAGGAGAGGAGTGAGCAGGGACCCTGTCATGGTGGGGAAGGACTCACTGCCAAAGCATTCCTGGGTGATTTTCCGCTAAGGCTTTGGCTAACTTGCTCAAAACACTCAATAAGCAGATGTCATCATTCTTTGGCCCTCCAGAAAGCTAATAAGCAAAATGCCCTGGGCACCCCAAAACGCTGCTGCCATGACCTTTGCTCTTGTGCTTTGACCAGACCACTTCCTGCTGGGAGCCATTGCTTTGGTTACGTCGTCCTCAGGATCGCACTGGTGAAGCCCTGTGTCGGCTCCTGTTACAGTTCTTCGAAGAAATGCTTCAAGATCTTGATCCCACATGTTTAAAACTTCCCTCGAGAGCTCTGCCCTTGTCTGCAGCTGGTCTGGGTGCAACCGTTTTGGCATCCCTCAACGGAAAGTCCTCCGCTTGAACTTTTCAGGCAGAATTGTGTAAGCTGAACCGATGAAGCTGTCTGGCTATTGTTTCTCTATTACTCACCAGTCCTCTCAATTAGGCTATGAACGAGATTTTTTTTTTCTTTTTTTGGAGAGGTTTTCACTAGAGGGCGCGTGCGCTCGCCAGCAGACAGAAAGAGACAGAGAGACAGAAAGCGAGAAGTCACCCCCCCAGGGGGGATGGTCACGCCGCAATCCCTTCTCCTCCATTCTCCTCTCGGGATCTTGGGCACGCATACACACACGCCCAGCATGAGTTTAAGCCACTGGGTCTGGGACTCGACCTGTGGTCAACTACATGGGAGTCCAGTGACATAGCCATTATGCCAACTGCTGGTCCCTCCTCAGGATTTTGGGCATGAATGCACATGTGCCTGATGTGAGTTTCAAGTCAGTG